GACTTCACCGCAAGATTTGGCAAACTAGGTCCTCTGAAGAGGATAATACTGTGATGGGAACAAACTGTTTCTCACAGGATCAATTAAGTACAAATTGAGGACAGGACAAGTCTCAACGTGAACGGACACATGTGCAGAGGTGGAGGAATCTGTGCTATGATCACCCAAGAAGTCACTACAAAAATGATCTTCCGAGCTAGGAATTCCCCAAAACACGATGTTAACATGCATGACAAAGGATCTTGATTTGAAATTTTTAAGGCCATCATTCGTCAATGAAAGTGAATAAACTGAATCCAGTACATGTGCTTTTTATTACTTATTCTTCTATTGTTCTCATGTTTTGGTAAGGAGTAACAAGACTTTCGGACCACCCGAATCCAGTCCATTTGCTTTGTATTACAGTATTACTTGTTCTTCTATTGTTCTCATTATGTTTTTGTGGGGGTAACAAGACTTTTTGAATCCAGTCTATTGCTTTGTATTACAGTAACTTGTTCTTCTATAGTTCCATTATGTTTTGGTAGGGCGTGACAAGACTTTTGAACCACCCCAATCCAGTCCATTTGCTTTGTATTACAGTATTCTATTGTTCTCATTATGTTTTGGTAGGGGGTAACAAGACTTTCGGACCACCCGAATTCAGTCCATTTGCTTTGTATTACAGTATTACTTGTTCTTCTATTGTTCTCATTATGTTTTGGTAGGGCGTGACAAGACTTTTGAACCACCCCAATCCAGTCCATTTGCTTTGTATTACAGTATTCTATTGTTCTCATTATGTTTTGGTAGGGGTAACAAGACTTTCGGATGAATTCAGTCCGTTTGCTTTGTATTACAGTATTACTTGTTCTCATTATGTTTTGGTAGGGAGTGGCAAGACTTTCGGACCACCCGAATCCAGTCCATTTGCTTTGTATTACAGTATTACTTGTTCTCATTATGTTTTGGTAGGGAGTGGCAAGACTTTCGGACCACCCTGGAGAACAAGCCACATGGTACTGTATTTCAATAATTATTTCTGATAAACTGCCCTCTATAATTATAAAAGGCTTATTTCAAAGTTAGATGACTCTATTTGATATTCCAAAGAAACCTTTGTCAGATAATGGATGGGAATTTAATAAGCATGAAACACAATTATTAGGTGAAGCCTTCAACACAATAGTCATGACAACAGCTGCAGAGAGCCTCTCAGAGTAATGGTGTTTATAAGACATTGACTGGGATATTGGAAATATGATTGTTAGGATAATTTTGGACACTAAATGTGATGTGGAATTGACTATAGCAGTAGTTCCCAAATGATGCAGTGGACTTCATAAGTGCGATGGAAGAGGATAGCAGTCGAGGCAGAATGATTGAAAGAAAATCAAAGATTTAGAAACAGATTCCAAAACTTCATATGCCAAAAATAAATATGATTTCAAAATTTAAAATATTATTATGGATTACTTGTAATTGCATACATGAGTCCCAGTGTAAATATTTATAAATAATTATGGACCGATTTTATCATTGTGATATTTTTGCATTGTATCAAGTATTAAGAATATAGTAACTAGGCTCTGCAGATTGGAGGAGAGAGTTATCAATGATAATGTTCTGACTTTGAATCTGCAGTTATCTCCCTTTAACTCTTTCTCTGGATCTTCTTTGCCATGGGGCTGCTTGCACCTGTTCACCGGGACTTTCCTTTTCCCCCCAATTTTATTTTTTTAATCATTTCACCCCAAGCAAGCCAATAAAGCCACTAAAATAAAAGGGATTACTAAGTGTGAAAGAATACAAATAAATAAAAATTATTAAAGAATGTGAACAATAAAAGAAGAGGAATCAAGAAGACAGTGGTCAACAATTCACATTGTCTTTAAATTTTTTTGTAGATCAAAGTTGGCTGGGAAGCACAAAACCAGAATGGAGTTCCACAGGTAAGAAGTGCAAGAAAAGAAACTGTTAGCAAAGAATTTATGGTTACATCTTGCAAATTCAGCTATGAAATGATGAGACCTTGCTGCCAATCTAATACTGCGCTTAATTTAAAAAAGTCTAGGTACATACAGCAAAGTTCGACAGGACAATAACCATGAAAGTATTTATAGAAATGGCACAGGGAAGCTACATTATATTGATGGAAAACTGACTGAAACTGGGATGTCAGGTCAGGACCAATAACATTGCAGATTCTTTTTGGATTTTATCAAGAATCTCTAAATAGATAGCAGGAGCACCAGGCCATATATGGTAGCAATATTTGAAGCATGGATGAATGGTAGACTTATAAACATGTAAGATGGATTCTGGAGAGAAAATTTGTCTAGCACAACACAGTGAACCAACTTTCCTAGCAGCAAACCTTGCAACTGATTGAATGTTTCCAGTTCATGACATCAGGGATAGTTAGTCCAATAAGGTGCACTTTCTTGGAGGTTAGCTTCAGCCATGCTGATGGATGGCAGAAAGAGAGTAGTTTTGTTTTGTAGGCATTAAAATTAACAAGCCATTCCTTGTCCCAGTTAGCAGCAGATTTTAGGTCATTTTTAGATCAGCTGCCAATTTGACCTAATTGAACTGATCATGCTTACTATTAGTCGATTTTTTCAAGCCTGGCAACCCTCACAACTTCCAAATTTGTCCTCATTCTCTACAACCCCTACTTCCACTACAACTTATGGTAAGAAATGACTTCAAAATAACAGTGACTACTTGAGTGATTACAAAGATCAATGATTAGTGAAGATGTGTGTACAGAGCAAGGATGTAACTTGTAGAGAAAGTAATGATATAATCAAGATGTTGATTTTCCACACCACTTCAAACAAAAGGTCAGGAAGGAAACCTCCATCAATACTGGGAAGATTTTTCTGGAAAAATTGTTTTAACAAAAAGATTTTATAAATTTCAACTGATGACAGTACTGGCTGCTTTGTCATTGAATGCCAAATGTTTCCTTCTAAAGAAATGGCTAATATCGCCTTTATCATTACCATTGAAAACAAAATATAGATTCCAAAAATTGAGATTATTCCACTTTCAAAACATTCTAATGAAGCTCTAAAACTAACTAAATAATGAAACATGTCAAATTCATAGTTTTCTTACTTTTTCTTTATTTAATAAATGAAGAATAAATAGGATAAATATATAAATTATAGATTTGAACATTATTTTGATTTGTAATCATAATTTAATCCTTCATAATCATACTAGTTGGGTTACGCAGCATTGCCCAGAAGAAATAACTTCATCTTAGATTTCATTGCTATGTTGAAATTCAATAACATGTTGATTCATTATCTTGATAATCAATCTGATGCCATTGCAAAGACTCAGGGGTCTAGATTTCTCAAGAATATGACTGGAGATCTCTTTCTTTCCAAATAAGATTGTGAAGTGTCATGCCAGATGGAGGGAATTATGTACAAATATTTTTTAAATAGAAAATAATTATAGGATTGACATTCCACCATTTATTAAGGTAAATATATTGTCGATATATTTTATCAAATTAACACCAGTAATTATTTCTCTTTAAATAATAACTTCATTTAAAATAATTTATTTGGTTTCATATTGCTTTTTAAAAAAAAGGGATTTTATGCTTAAATTGTTTTTGTCAGTTAAATAAAAAAGTAAAGAAATTGATTTCATGAAAGAATATTGTTAATTCCAAAAATATATATATATATATATATATATATATAAAAGCTTAAACTGTCTTTCAGGTCCTGTCCACAGTAGAAAAAATTATATATAATATAATAAAAAATATAAATATTTTTGAAAGCATATGTATTTTTTTGAAAATTTAAATTTAAAAAATAATTTAACAAACAGAATATTTTTGAAAGCATAAATAATTTTTAGAAAATTAAATTAAAGTTTAGTAAAATTTTTATGATCCCCCCCAGTGTGTTTAAAATGATTGTGTATATTTAAAATAATTTGTTTGTTTTTGCATTCATTTTTAAAATTTGATATCTAAAGCTTTAAAAAATATTAATTTCAATAAAATGACAAAAGAGAGTTAAAAATTTCCTGATTAAAAATATTGAAAAAGATGACTTATATGTTTGTGGAATATCTGATTGTATTAATAAAGCTATTGAAAGTTCCGCCCAAAATATCTACAGGAATTTATTCTGTTGTGTTTTTACAATTTTTATTTCGAATTTTTGAATAAATAAATATTAAACTTTTTTCAGATAATTGTATTTAATATTTTTCTTCTTTCAAATTTACGAGTCTGTATATATATTTATTTTGTCATAAATTATTGTGGTTTTTTAGTCTTAGCCAGACACACACATATACAGTCAACTTCCCTTTATATATATATATATATATCTTATTCTGGGTCATCAGGTTGATTAATTAAGCATTTCGAAATTATCAGCAGAATTAAAAAATAAAAATGAACAGGAATAGAATTATTCCTGTTCGTTTTTACTTTTTAATTCTGAGAATTTCAAAACTCTTACATGGCTAAAAAAAGATGAATTCTAATGCAATTATTACATATTTTTAATTTAAAAATATCTTTGCAAATGCAAATCATACAATGATATTTCTTTTGCAAAAAAGTGGGTTGAGTAATACCGAGTCTGTATATATATTTATTTTGTCATTAATTATTGTAGTTTTTTAGTCTTAGCCAGACACACACACATACAGACAACTTTGCTTTATATATGTATATCTTATTCTGGGTCATCAGGTTGATTAATTGATTCATTTTTAATGGCTTATCAATGCTTTGCATGTTATTTAAAACCAGAAAGTACTTTTTGATAAGCATCTCTTCTTTTTTTTTGTAGATAATAATGGCTTAGTGATACAAGTCTTACTAATTAACCCATAGCTGGATGGAGAAAGGTGGAGTCATACTTTGCCAAGAGTATTGCACATAAGTGAATATAACGAACACAGTGAGAATTGGAACTTGTCTCTCTGATTAACAATTCCAAGCCATTATCCATTACACCACCTGCACATCCAAGCTTACAGCACCTAGTATTCCCAAGCAGTCACCCATCTAGGTACTGACCAGGCTCGACATTACTTAACTTTGATGATCGTACTGGAGTTGGTGCTTAAATGCGATGTGGCTGTAAGCCTAGAAGGAAAAGAGAGTGAAGAGAGAGAAAGACAGGAAGTGTCCCATTTTGATTTCTGATCATAATTTTAACATTTATAACTGAGCATATTTAATTCTTGGGGCATGTGGGGATTAGTGTGCCAAATTAGAGTTTTTTTAAACTACCACTAGTCAAGATGAATGTATGTTCTCTTAGAGAGATCCTGTGACTTGTGCGACTATTGGGCTTTAAACTTAACTCAGACCTCGTGGAACTCATACATACAATCCATTCTTAAAGATGCAGGAAAAATGGTCAGTTCCCTGTACCATTCCAATAAGTATTTAACTCTTTGTGTTATCCTCTTCCTTTACAAGAACCAGATCAGGCCTAAAATGGAGTACTGCTGTCATATTTGGTAAGGAGCTTCCCAGTCCTCAACAGTATCCAAAAGCATCTCTGGATCCTTGTAGGTGGCAAATTATTTTCCGCCCTGCAACCCGTCTCTCTCACAGATGAAATATCACAAGCCTCACACTGCTCTATCCATGGAAAGTGCTCAAATGAACTACATTTCTTAGTTCTAACCTCCACAGATAGGACCTACCATGCTTGTAGTGAACCCCCACCTCATTCCCTCTGTATTCCATTAATGAGAAGTAAGTTTCATTCAAGCATTCTTCTTCATACAAACCACTGCTCTTTGGAACTGACTCCCCAGAGGATGTTTTCCCGATCACTACAATCTTAACCAGTTCGAGTCTAGAGATAATCGTTATCTTCCTCACATATCTGCATAAACTGTTCCTATTATTCTGTAATCTTCTAGTTTGAGTGGCTCCCGAGCCTTATACAAAGTAAACCTCACTGTAAAAAAAAAAAAATAAATAATTGTATATCTTTTATTTTGGGATCATCAGGAGACTTATATGTCAAATGAAAGTGCTTTGGTATTCATACTTATATTCATTGATTTCGGTGAGGAATTTTCCTAGGAAAAACACACGCCATTTATTGTCATGAAATTTGGTGCTGATTATCTTATTCATGGCTGTACATTTTTCAACCATCATATTTCCAGAAACAACTTTTTAATATCCTCAGAAAATACTGACAATATAAGAACTATTTTTCATTTGCAATAACTGAAAATAACAAAATTCTTTCCATCCTGCGAGACGATCAAATTGTCATTGAATTGTGGTAAAAGTACTCCAAGTATACGGATCTTTATCAAATTACAGCTCACTTTGACAGAAGCTGACCCCCGATGTTAACCTCCTGTGAGGGCCAGCAATTCCAATCTGCTTGCAAAGTAAACAGAAGCCATTTGCTGTCTCTTCATGCTTCTATTACAATATCCACAGACTGAGGTTCTCACTCTCAGAGCCTCGCAAAAGGTTCTTGCATTCCTTTACCAAACTCTGCGAAACAATTTTGCTCTCCAATCTGGTGGGAACTGGGTTGGGATGGGTGCAAGAGAATTGGATAATAGAATCAAAGAAATTCATCTATAATGCAAGGCACAGAGCAGAACTACCTGAATTAATTATGAAAACGTCTTCTTACCTGAGTGATTTGATTGGTTCCCGATTTGGATTATTTTCTCTTTCACTGAAGCAAATAAATAGATAAACCTCTTTATTACTCTTCCTTCTTTTGCAACTTACAGCATACTTTTCTCATACATGTTCACCTTGCATTCCAGCCTGAATGCAAACAATTTGAACTTGATGTGTATGACTGTAGGTAACTTTGGGAGCTCAGGACTACCTACTATTTTTCTTGTTCAACTGGTCTCTTTGAAAAAAGCTGACTATCTCCAAATTGCTATGGTTGGTGGTTATGTTCTCATGCATATTAACAGTCTTATTAAATTTTGAACAGGAATGATATAATTTCACATATGCTACATAACAGTAAGTTAAGTTGACTTCCATTTACCACTAGAAATGTAACTAAGTACGCCTACTATAAGATGCAAAACATGTAATTGAATAAGTTTTCTACATTATCTCTACAACTATTATTGCAGTCATTATACTTATGACTGTTAGTATTATTTTTAATTATACTTAAATTTTAGTTCACTGTGCGCCTTTTTTAGTTCCACCAGTTCAGACCTTTACACCTAGGACACGTTGTTCTACTTTCACGAAATCAGCCTCATTTTTTCTGTATTCCAATTGTAAGGAGGAAGTTCAGTTTAGACAGATTTTTGCCAAGAATGGCTATTTTCTTTTGTAAAACAGGTTTCCATGTGGACGTTTCTCTGAACACTACAAAATTAACCTCTTTGAGTCATGAGTCAATTATTATCTATCCTTCTTATCCTCATAATCTTCACTTCTTAACACCTCCTCCCCTTTACATTCATGTCACATACCACATTCAGTAAACCCTCTCAGCTTGATTGACTCTTGATCATTGCATGAGGTGAAATTTGTTAAAAAGTATAAAAGTAGGAAAGGCAGCCAGAAAACAGATAGGGATTGTAAACAACGTTTCAGATAGTGTACCCTCCAGCCTTCTTCAGGGGTCTGTCATATATTATAATATTCAGCCCACTGTGCTCATCTTGGTTGTTATGCATACATACACATATGTACATATACATATATATAAGCAAATATGCATACACACACATAAGTACATATACGCACAAACACACACAAGCACTTATATGCACAAACGCACATGAGCACATATACACACAAACACACATAGACACACACACATAAGCAGATAGGTACAAACACAAATAAACCCAAATACACAAACGCACATAAGCACATATACACAAACACCAAGCACATATACAAATAAACATAAACACATATACACACAAAGACACATATACACAAACATATACATACATACATACACACACAGAAACATATACATATATATATAGGTATACATGCATACATATACGAATGAACATATATACATGTATATGTACATATACTAATACACACAGAAGCAGACATATAAACATATATGTCCATACATGTATACACATATACACATGCATACGTGCATATTTACAGATATAAACATACAAATACATATTCATATATACACACCTACATATAAATATATATGGATATGCACACATTTATGCATACATGTATATGCATATATAAATATGCACACACACAAGAATGTAGGCATATATCTATTGATGTGCACCTGCACAGATCTATAACAATATCTATATATGTGTGTGCGTGTTTATGTGTGTGCAAAAATATGAAAATATATTAGGAAAGAAAATTGTGTGAATTTATTTCTAAATACACACCACTTCTCTGCTTGTGTGCCACATTACATACAGCTGTGTATGTGTGTGAGGGTGTGTATGTGTGTGCAAAAATATGAAAATATATTAAGGAAAGAAAATTGTGCATGTATTTCTAAATACACACCTCTTCCCTCCTTGTGTGTCCCATTACATACAGCTGTGTGTGTGTGTGAGGGTGTGTATGTGCACACAGATGTGTGGTTCTGTGTAAATATATAAGCTTTGTTTAAACAAAAACACGCATATTCACCAAGACTCATTTACTCACAGACACGTTTATGGCAAAAAAAAGGGGTTATAAATTCCTGGTAATTTTATGAAAAAAAAGGAATGGCCCAATTTCTAAGAGTGTTTTAACTTTGGTGGATTTCAATCTTGGCACTCAGCTGGAATTTCTCTGCTGAACATTTGATTCTGCATTCAATAAAACATCAAAGCAAAGCATTCGCCTGTAATTGACAATGCAATTCACTATCCGAGAACCAGAGTATGAGCTGCTTCGACATGTTTGCATCAGTGACAGGTTAAAAATATACATCTAAGTGCATGTTAAGTATATTGAATAATAAACACTGTTGTCTTCTTTAAGAATTTATATTTCCTTTTCCACTGCAACTTCAAAACTATCTATTACGTTTGTGGATATGTAATACACAGGATGCTAAAAACCTGTCAGCACAACTCCCATCCCAAAATCTGACTAAATGACCAAAAAATGGAATTATCTTAGAGAATGCTATCTTGATCCGGCTGGAAATATTTCAGCAGTTCCTCTTTGTTTAGAATTCTTGCTTGGGGACCAAGACAAAGCAAATATTGTTTGTTTAGATTAGAGTACCATACATCTTTTTTTTTTAATTTATAGTTTATGACTATTCCAAGTATGCCAATAATGCTGGGTATAACTATCACCTATCCATTCTGATAAATCTCTTTACTCTGTTTAGGCGCATATATTTTTTCCCAGTTTCATCTGCGAGAATAAAAGCACCTAATATCTGACAGATCTTGTTTCTTTTTTCTTTTTCTTTTATTAACAATGACTATATCTGATCATATATATATATATATATATATATATATATATATATATATATATATATATATATATATATATATATATATATATATATCAGAATTTTTGACAAGACAATGAGATGCTAATTGGTATACCTGGTGATAACTAACAAATGAATTAAAGTATTTTGATATCTGTCTATATCTCTGAGATGAGGTATGATTATTTACATCATTCAGACTGTTATCCTCATCTTCATTGCCATATGCACAACATTTCTTCAAGGACACATGGCCCAGTGGATAAAGATGTTCGTTAGATCCAGTGACTAGACCCAAAGAGTTTGTGAGTTCAATACCAGGCTACAGCAGTGGTAAAGCAAAAACATTTTTGAGAGTTGAGTTAAATGGAAATAACTGAGACATTCAGAAGAGGCATGGCACATGGAACTAAAACAATCTATCTTTATCCACTGTGGCATGTGTCCTTGAGGTTGGTTAGATCCAGTGACAGGACCCAAAGAGTGTGAGTTCAATACCCGGCTATGGTATGGGAGAACTTTCAGAGGGAAATTAGCAGGAGATAAATGATAACTGACATCCATCAAACATGGCACGTGGAAATAGAACAGTCTACCCTAGTGAGCGAAATAAAGGGTTCAATTCGAAATTCCAACCACCTGAAGAAGGCCGGAGCGTACAACGGTTAAAAC